AAGTGCATTTGCTCTTCCGCAAAAAAAGCGGAAGAACAAGCATGTTCCTTGGACGCAGCGGAATTTTTCTGGGATACATCCAGTATCCTGGAAAACCCCCGCAGTGTAGACATAGCCTTAGATATCTCTCTTCATTGTAGACTCAGTTTAAAATAGAATGAAGCTCACTAAACGATTAAAGGTATACATTTATGTTTGTGTGTGCCAAAAAGTCTTCTATATCTACGTTTAAGTTTTCAAAAGTTTCTTTTATTTTGGATTTAACATATTGTTCAAGAAACAGGAGTAACATAATTTAAGCTCCCAATTCAGTCATCCTTACAAGGGCAACAGGGCCAATGAAGTCAATAGGAATTTTATTGAGTAAGGAGAACTGAACTAGGGTCCATATATATTCTTCTAACAAATGGAGAGATACCTTAATGATAAAATCACCATCTAGCTCAATGTGAGTATCTTTTTTTAACAATATATCATGTCAAAACAAATTTTCTATTAAGCTAATATACACTTTTACAATGTTTAATTTATTCTCATGGCATTATTTCTGTAATTGCATTCATTTTTGGAAGGTGGGAGTAACTCTTGGTATGAATGAAGCTGTGCGAATTATTGCAAGACTGTAAAATATTGAAGCAAAATGCAGGACAATGTAGCACTTTAAAGACTAACAAGATGGTTTATTAGATGATGAGCTTTCGTGGGCCAGACCCACTTCCTCAGATCAAATAGTGGAAGAAAGTAGTCACAACCATATATACCAAAGGATACAATTTAAAAAAAATGAACAAATATGAAAAGGACAAATCACATTGCAGAACAGAAGGAGGATGCGGGGGGGTGGGAAGGGGGAGGAAGGAAGGTAAGTGTCTGTGAATTGCTGATATTAAAGGTAGGGAGAGTGGGATGTTTGTGAGTTAATGGTATTACAGGGGATAATTGGGGAAACTGTCTTGATAATGGGTGAGAAAGTTCAAAGACTTGTTAAGTCCTTGTTGGTAAGTGTCGAATTTTAACATGAATGACAGTTCAGAGGATTCCCTTTCAAGTGCAGATATAAAAGGTCTTTGTAGCAGAATGCAGGTGGCTAAGTCATTTAGAGAGTGTCCTTTCTGGTTAAAGTGGCAAGAAACTGTTTTCTCTTTGTGATCTTGTCTAATATCTGTTTTGTGGGCATTAATCCTTTGGCGAAGTGTCTGAGATGTTTGTCCAATGTACATAGCAGACGGACACTTTCGGCACATGATAGCGTAGATTATATTTCTGGATGCGCAGGAATATGTGTTCTTGATCTTATAACTCACTTGGTTAGGTCCAATAATGGTATCAGCAGAATGAATATGTGGACAAAGCTGGCAACGGGGTTTGTTGCAAGGGAAGGTACCAGGGTTGGTATTAGTGTGGTATGTCCTGTGGTGGTTGGTAAGAATCATCTTGAGGTTAGGTGGTTGTCTATAGGAGACTATGGGTCTGTCTCCCAGAGCCTCTTTGAGTATGGTATCCTGTTCCAATATAGGCTGTAGTTTCTTGATAATGTGTTGGACAGGTTTAAGTTGGGGGTTGTAGGTGATGACAAGTGGTGTTCTATTGTTGGTTTTCTTGGGTCTGTCTTGAAGTAGATGGTTTCTAGGAATTCGTCTGGCTCTTTCAATTTGCTTTTTTGTTTCTCTGGGTGGGTAGTTGAGATTTATAAATGCTTGGTAGAGATCCTGAAGCTTCTGGTCTCTGTCAGTGGGGTTAGAGCAGATGCGGTTGTATCGAAGGGCTTGGCTATAGACGATGGATCGTGTGGTGTGTTCTGGATGGGAGCTGGATGCATGTAGGTAACTGTATGAGTCAGTGGGTTTTCTGTAGAGAGTGGTGTCTAATTTTCCATTGTTGATTTGTACGGTGGTGTCCAGGAAGTGGATCTCTCGTGTAGAATGGTCCAGGCTGAGGTTGATGGTGGGGTGTAGGTTGTTGAAATCTCTGTGGAATATCTCCAGTGTTTCTTGGCCATGTGTCCAGATCATAAAGATGTCATCGATGTACCGTAGGTAGAGGAGGGGTGAAAGGGGACGGGAGTTGAGGAAACGTTGTTCTAGGTCAGCCATAAAGATGTTAGCATACTGTGGGGCCATGCGTGTACCCATGGCTGTGCCGCTGATCATGCACAGCCATGGGTACACGCATGGCCCCACAGTATGCTAACATCTTTATGGCTGACCTAGAACAACGTTTCCTCAACTCCCGTCCCCTTTCACCCCTCCTCTACCTACGGTACATCGATGACATCTTTATGATCTGGACACATGGCCAAGAAACACTGGAGATATTCCACAGAGATTTCAACAACCTACACCCCACCATCAACCTCAGCCTGGACCATTCTACACGAGAGATCCACTTCCTGGACACCACCGTACAAATCAACAATGGAAAATTAGACACCACTCTCTACAGAAAACCCACTGACTCATACAGTTACCTACATGCATCCAGCTCCCATCCAGAACACACCACACGATCCATCGTCTATAGCCAAGCCCTTCGATACAACCGCATCTGCTCTAACCCCACTGACAGAGACCAGAAGCTTCAGGATCTCTACCAAGCATTTATAAATCTCAACTACCCACCCAGAGAAACAAAAAAGCAAATTGAAAGAGCCAGACGAATACCTAGAAACCATCTACTTCAAGACAGACCCAAGAAAACCAACAATAGAACACCACTTGTCATCACCTACAACCCCCAACTTAAACCTGTCCAACACATTATCAAGAAACTACAGCCTATATTGGAACAGGATACCATACTCAAAGAGGCTCTGGGAGACAGACCCATAGTCTCCTATAGACAACCACCTAACCTCAAGATGATTCTTACCAACCACCACAGGACATACCACACTAATACCAACCCTGGTACCTTCCCTTGCAACAAACCCCGTTGCCAGCTTTGTCCACATATTCATTCTGCTGATACCATTATTGGACCTAACCAAGTGAGTTATAAGATCAAGAACACATATTCCTGCGCATCCAGAAATATAATCTACGCTATCATGTGCCGAAAGTGTCCGTCTGCTATGTACATTGGACAAACATCTCAGACACTTCGCCAAAGGATTAATGCCCACAAAACAGATATTAGACAAGATCACAAAGAGAAAACAGTTTCTTGCCACTTTAACCAGAAAGGACACTCTCTAAATGACTTAGCCACCTGCATTCTGCTACAAAGACCTTTTATATCTGCACTTGAAAGGGAATCCTCTGAACTGTCATTCATGTTAAAATTCGACACTTACCAACAAGGACTTAACAAGTCTTTGAACTTTCTCACCCATTATCAAGACAGTTTCCCCAATTATCCCCTGTAATACCATTAACTCACAAACATCCCACTCTCCCTACCTTTAATATCAGCAATTCACAGACACTTACCTTCCTTCCTCCCCCTTCCCACCCCCCCGCATCCTCCTTCTGTTCTGCAATGTGATTTGTCCTTTTCATATTTGTTCATTTTTTTTAAATTGTATCCTTTGGTATATATGGTTGTGACTACTTTCTTCCACTATTTGATCTGAGGAAGTGGGTCTGGCCCACGAAAGCTCATCATCTAATAAACCATCTTGTTAGTCTTTAAAGTGCTACATTGTCCTGCATTTTGCTTCAACTACCCCAGACTAACACGGCTACATTTCTATCACTATTCTACATGTAAAATATTGTAATTCTTAAGTAACTTGTTTTGTTGCTGCTACTGAGTGCAGCAAAATTACAATCCCTAATACAAATTCCAACTGAATGCACTCTAGACTAGGGATGTTAAAGTGGTTATTTAGATAACTGTGTATCTGGCTCCCATCTGTTGCCCTGTGCTGCTGCCTGTGATAGAGGCAGCAGCATGGGCCGGCAGCTAGCTTTCCTGGAGTAGGGGCAAGAGCCTGTATGTAACAGTTACTGGTAATCAGTTATTCTATTACATCCTCCTCTAGACAGATCTTTGAGAAGTACAGACATTTTTGTGTGTGTGCTCAGCTGTTCAGTTAATGCAAAGGGAATGTATAACCAATATTTCTTATTTCTGAACCAAGCACATCTGACTTGTGCTATTTTTTTGTGTGGCATACTCAATTAATTATTGTTCAGAATCCAAAGCCTTCTTTTGCAGTTCCCACAGATGTTCATAGGACAAGAAGCAATGGGCTGAAACTGCAGCAAGGAAGGTTTATGTTGGACATTAGGAAAAAGTTCCTGTCAGGGTGATTAGACACTGGAATAGGTTGCCTAGGGAGGTTGTGGAATCTCCATCTCTGGAGATATTTAAGAGCAGGTTAGACAGACATTTATCAGGGATGGCCTACAGCAGGGGTGGGTAATCATTTTTGGCCAGGGGGCCACTTCAAAATTTTTTGAAGTGGTCCTGGGCTGCCCTGGAAGGGGCGGGGCCAGGATGCTTCCAGGTTTCCCCACCCATAGACCATGATTGACCTGGAGGTGGGGGAGCATCTTTTCCCCACCCTTCCCACTAAGCACCCATGCCCCTGGAAGGGTGGGAAGAGGCTTCACACACTCCCCCCACCCCCAGGCCAATTAGGGACTAGGAGCAGGGGAAGCACACAAGGTTTCCTCCGCCCTGCCAGGAGCATGTAGCACTTTGAAGTGCTGCGTGCTTGTGGTAGGACAGGAGGAGACTTCACAGCACTCCCCCACCCACAAACCCTGATTGGCTTGGAGGCAGGAGAACATGCAAAGCTTCCTCAGCCCTGCCCTCGCCCTGAAAGGAGCATGCGGTACTTAGAAAAGTGCCGTTTGCTCCTAGTAGGGCAGAGGAAACTTCGTGCACTCCCCCACCCCCAAGCTCTGATTGCTTAGGCGTGGGAGAGCATGCAAAGCCTCTTCCTGCCCTGTAAGGAGCATGCGGCACTTTGAAGTGCCACACGCTCCTCACAGGGTGGGGGTAGGGCGGAGAAAACTGCACACTCCTCCTGCCCCCGGGCTAATCAGGGCTTTAGGGCAGGGGAGCATGTGAAGTCTCCTCCCGCCCTGCCAGGAGCTTGTGGCACTTCAAATTGCTACGTGCTCCTGGCAGGACAGATGAAACTTTGTGCGCTTTCCCCGACTCCAGGTCCTAATTGGCCTGGGAGTAGGGGAGCGGCAGGGCCTCTGCGGGCTGGATCAACCCAATTGGTGGGCCGGATCTGGCCCGTGGAGGCCCTTTCCCCACCCTGATCTAATGGTGCTTGGTCCTGCCGTGAGGGCAGGGGACTGGACTTGATGATGAGGTCCTTTCCAGTTCTAGTGATATATGATTCTATGATTTTATAGGTCAATCCGACACTAATAAATATGACAGGATATGCTATAAAGAGCAGCCCTCAGTAATTTAAAGAGTAATACCAACTACTATTAATTTTTTAAAGTAGTCTTCTAATCCTGCAGTATTTGGGGTCTTGAACAGAAAGTTAAAGTATAATTAACCACTGTAAAAACAAAAGCGTAAAATATTTTAAAAAGCCAAACACAGGCTAATGATCAATTGTGCTTCCACATTTCAATATGTTCCGTATTCTGCTTTGGTTTGACTGGCTTCATTATAGACAGTGCAGAACTTATTCTACACTAACTCATAGTCAAATTTATTTACTTTTCTATCCTGAAACCAGAAAATGAATCATTTACAAAAAGTCTGAGCAGCTCCTCATGCAACTACTTTTCATCCTTGATGTAATTTGCATTTATATACGAGTGCCCCTGTTTTATATAGTTTTTGTAACCACAAATATTCTTCAGAAAACAATAAAGTGCACACTGTTACAATGACACCATCAACACCAAGCTAGCATGCCTTATCAGTCTTGTTTAAACCTCCCCCGCCAGCCAATGCCCATCCAGTTTCTGGGTTGAAACTTATTAAGCTTCTTGATACTTGTATCATCACCCAAGGGAAGCATACTATTGTCAAGATGTTCTGTAAAGCTTCAGCGGTGACTTGCAACTTCTGACTATGCAGATTGTCTTAAATACGCATTAAGGAAACAGTGTTCTTCATTCATCTGAGAAATTGAAATGGCTTTTATACTCACTAATTTCGTGGCCACTGCCTTTGTTTTTATTTGGTTATTAAATGGAGATGAACAGGGTGGGGAAAGTCATACACAACATTTAACAGCTAACACTGTATAAAATATGTGGCTCTGTTGTATGTATTTTTCAGAAACTTGCATTAAATGTCAGGATGCTGTAATTTAAACTACATTTTGTGGGCTCTGTATCCAGTTTTCACTTGTTTCAGGATGGTTTAGATAATGAAGGCACAGGCTCACTTTTGTACTGATAAAGGACAGCAAACACAGTTAAATATGCATTACTGACACACAAGCACAAGCAACAATAAAGCTAGTGTCAACAGTCTTGAACAGCTTTCCTTTACCTAAAACTTTTTGGCAATCTGTCTAGCTTTTAAATGCCTTAGAAAGAAAATCAAATGTAAAATTGTGCTACTTTGAAACAAGTTTTTTTCCTAAAAATATTTTATTATGGAAGAAAAGCTGACCTTGATAAGCTTGGTCTGTTCTTTCCAACGGTCCTAGATAACAACATTCACCTGTTAAAATGCCAGCAAATAGGAGATCACGTAAAGACCAGTGAAAACAGCTGACATGGTCCCTCAACCCTGTTAACAATTTACAGCACATTAATAAAACTAGCTTTACTTCTTCCTATTTATCTTTGTTTACCTTTTACCTTTGTTTAAAGGTGAGCCAAAAATCTTGAAAAAACTGAGTAAGTTACCCAATCCAGTTTCAGTATATATGGAGTTAAAAATTACAAATATTTTTAAACAATTTCCTCCTTTAATTGTATGCCAAGAAGTTATAAAAGAAACAGAAACATCTGGCCTCAATGAACTCCAGATATAGACTAAAGAATAGCTCTCTAATGACTAATTATCAGTGATGGCAGCTATCTCACAAGAAAAACAGAACCTTTACAATAGGAATTGGCATATAAAAAGCCTCTCTGTTCACCTTGAATATTTTTGGTTTACCTAGCCCCCCAAAAATAAAAAAAAAAACCCTTTAGTTTACATGATATTCATAATCTCAAGTATAACATTGTTTTTGTCTTACTTTTATGGATAGTACTAACCAGTACCAGACTCTAGCAGAGGATACATCAAGCAGTCAATTTAGTAGCATGCCATTTCATAACTCTAGAAGCCTAAAATATCAAAGATAACATGGAAATGTATCAGCCTACCAAAAAGGTATTTGAAAGTTTACAAACTCAATACAATTTTTGTTAATTTTGATGGTGTTCTACACATCCTTAAGCTAGGAGTTTATATTGAATTAAGTGTTCATTGACACCAAATGTCACACACAAACCATAATGATCTAGGTGATTCATTATAATCAGGACAGATAAGAAGATTTTGCTAATCTCACTGCATCCTATTAATTATTTCTTTTCACTGTACATATGGTTAACTACTATGGATAGTTGAAAATTAAGTGTAAACAAAATGAAGATGGAGCAAATTTGGCTGAGGACCCCAAAATCAAGATTTGGCAATTCAATTTTTTTCTTAAATAACTAACCTCTAACACATCAGTGACCAAAGAATGTCTATATGCTTCCTTATCATGCTACTACATTGAGGCATAACTATCAAAAACATTAACCTACAGAGTCAGCTTATACATGTGCAATTAATTCATTCTGCATAAGGGAAATGATTACACACATCTGAAGTAATAGATAAAAGCTTACAGCTCAGCATTTTCCTTTTTATTTTTTTATTTTTGCATTTTTTAGTTTCACTTCTGCTATGATACTAGCTCCAATTTCCAGGTTAATGACCTCCAAGCAGATTTGAAAGGAAGCCTGAAGATTTCTTTTTTTCCTGTGTCTTTTCTTCTTGGCCTTGTGTAAGCCCCAGTTCACTCTCAATCTGCTCAAGCTCTGATTGGTCAAGCAGTTCAAAATCATCAGCTTCTTCTGTGTCTGTCTCTTCACTCAAACTGGGAACCTGTGAGGGTGCTGCTCGCTGTGTGGACTGCAACTGGTCTTTGATGGCAGCAGACACTGCAGCTGCTATAACATCACCAGCAATACCACTCACTAAGTTAAAGGTTTGGTCACTGGTCAAAGGCAGAGAAAGGCCTGTGGCAGATTGCCTCTCTTTCCTCTGTCTAGGAGAATGAGCCACCTTGGAAGGCATCTGTTCCCTTTTTCTCTTCTGTTGGATAGGCATGCCAATGCTTGAGTCATCATCATCGTTTGTTCCTACTCCATTTTCTAAAGAAGGAAATTCTGCAAGATCTCTGGCAAAAGCTTCTTCATGATCACTAGGTCGGTCAAAATCTATTAAGTGATCAACAGCAGAAAATAATGTTAGCAAACATGGGTGAATGAAAGAACATAAACTATTATTAGTGAAGTTTATTCTCTATCACAACTTTGTGATTTAAGAGAGAGAGATTTCTGGCACCATTCAAATTAGATGTTTCTCAATTTATACTCTCAGTATTTCAAAGATGTGAACATTGTGCACCAAATCTGATGATACTGCTTCAGTGAGACAACAATGGGAGAAAGTATGGTTAAAAGTAAATTAAAAGCTTCCTTATATTATAAAAATGTAAACAAATCTTTTTACTATTTACATTGTTTACTTTTTACATTTCACTGTGGCTACAGAATGAAACTGCCTGATGAAACATGTTTTATTTCATGAACAAGAACCACACTATGGGTGTCAGTTGTAAAATCTGATTGTGAATGTCTGCACCCATTATCAAATCTCTTTTCATTAAAGTATGAAAAATATGAAAACATTTTGTTAATATTCAAGTTGTACATAAAATATCCCCCACATATTTTAAACAGAAAACCTTCACAAAACTGACCAGTGTAGTTTCTCTTAAAGTATATTTGATTTCTAATATTTTAGTTTTAATAAACTCAGTGTTATTAGTAATGAGTTTTTTTTTTTTAAATTAAAACTTCACAGTGTGCCTTAGGAATGGATGCTATCCATAGTCTTAAAAAAAATCCAACTGACAGGTGTTAAGGAAGTGAACTAAGGAGAATGTATGTGACAAGACTTTGTTTGAATGTGCACTGATAATTTAAAAAATGAGTCTGAATTTATTTTGCTTCATAGGAACAAGTGATGATGCATTCTGATAAGGTCCTGAAGTTTCAAATATTAAAATGCATCATGCATATCTATCATTAACTTTTAATTTTTCTACCAAATAGTTCTGTTTGATTACAACTTCTTTATTTAAAAAAGAAAAAATGAAATGATGCTGATTTGGCATTTATTACTGGCCGGCAATACTATCCCACCGGTAATGTTAAGTAATCACCGGCTTAGAAGAAAAGGCCGGAAAACAGAGTGAATCACTGCCTGACTAAATTACATAAAGATTACTGTAATGACACCAGATACAGCATATGTAATATCAATGACATTTACAATACTATGTGTTCTCTCAATCTGGCTAGGCGGCAGTTCTCCATAACTAATCTAGAGGGTCAGATCCTGAACTCCTTACCTTGCTTTTACTCAGTTCTCACACAGACAAATTTCCAGTGCGAGCTTGGTTGAGTAAAAAGAGGGTAAGAATCTCATGATTTGGCCTTGAAAGGAGGTGTCTTTGAGTATCTCCATGTAGCCTATTAAACTCCCCCAATGAATCCTGGCTTAATCATGGAATCCTAGGGCTGGAAGACACCTCAGGAGGTCGTCGAGTCCAGCCCCTGACCAAAGCAGGACCAATCCCAATTAAACCAACCTAGCCAGGACTTTGTCAAGCAGAGACTTAAACCTTCAGGAATGGAGATTCCATCATCTCCCTAGGTAACCCTTTCCAGTACTTCACCACCCTCCTGGTCAAATAGTTTTTCCTAATATCCAACCTAGACCTCTCCCACTGTAACCTGAGACCATTGCTCCTTGTTCTGCCATCCATCACTACTGTGAACAACCTCTCTCCATCTTCTTTAAAACCTCCCTTCAAGAAGTCGAAGGCTGCTATCAAATCCCCCTTCACTCTTTTTTTCTGCAGTCTAAATAAGCCCAAATCCCTTGGCATCTCCTCACAGGTCATGTGCTCCAGCCCCCTAATCATTTTGGTCACCCTCCACAGGATGCTGTCTGATGCATTCTCATCCTTTCTATAGAGAGGGGCCCAGAACTGGATGCAATACTCCAGATGTGGACTCACCAGTGCTGAATAAAGGGGAATAATCACTTCTCTAGACCTGCTGGCAGTGCTCCTCCTAATGCAACCTAATATTCCATTCACCTTAAAGGGCACACTGATGACTCATATCTGGCTTCTCATCCACTGTAATCCCTAGGTCCTTTTCTGCCAAACTGTTATTTAGCCATTTGGTCCTCAGCCCATAACAATGCTTGGGATTCTTCTGTCCCAAATGAAGGACTCTAAACTTGTCCTTGTTGAACCTCATCAGATTTCTTTTGGCCCTATCCTCTAATCTGTCTAGGTCACACTGGAACCTATCACTACGCTCCAATGTATTAACCTCTCCCCCTAGCTTAGTGTCATCTGCAAACTTGCTGCGGGTGCAATCTACCCCCTCTTCTAGGTCATTAATAAAGATGCTGAACAAAACAGGTCCTAGAACCGATCCTTGGGGCACTCCGCTAGAAACCGACAATCTAGCCAGCTTTCTATCCATCTTAGTCCATTTATCCAATCCACATTCCCTTAACTTGCTGGCAAGAATATTGTGGGAGACCATATCAAAAGCTTTGCTAAAGTCAAGGTATATTTCATCCACTGACTTTCCCATATCCACAGAGATAGTTACCTAATCACAGAAGCTAATGAGATTGGTCAGGTACAACTTGCCCTTCGTGAATCCATGTTGACTATTCCTGATCACTTTCCCCACTTCCAAGTGGTTCAAAATGGATGCCTTGAGGATCCCCTTCATGATGTGTGTGCTCAGCTGTTCAGGGGCCTGAGGTAAGGCTGACTGGTCTGTAGTTCCCTAGATTGTCCTTCTTCCCTTTTTTAAAAATGGGGATTACATTTACTTTTTTCCAATTATTTGGGATCTCTCCCGATCTCCATGAATTTTCAAAGATAATGGCTAAAGGCTCTGCAATTACATTTTCCAACTCCCTCAGTACCCTTGGATGCATTAAATCTGGACCCATGGATTTGTGTATGTCTAGCTTTTCTAAATTGTTCTTAACCTGTTCTTTCTCCATCGAGGGCTGCCACCTCCTTCCCATACTGCGTTGCCTAGTGCAGTAGTCTGGGACTTGACCTTGTCTATGAAGAGAGGCCAAAAAAAAAAAAAAGCATTGAACTACTTCATCTTTTCCCACATCATCTGTCACTAGGTTACTTCTGTCATCCAATAAGGGTCCTACACCTTCCTGGACCACCCTCTTATTGGTAACATGCCTGTAGAAACCTTTCTTTCCCTTCACATGCCTTGCTAGCTGAAATTCCTGTTGCACTTTGGCCTTCCTGATTACTTCCCTGCATGCTTGAGCAATATATTTATACTCCTCCTGGCAACGCACAGGGCCAGGGCCCAACAGGATTGTGGATTTGCTTCAAGACAGAGTTGATTAGGGATAGTTGTTATTAATCTCACTACGTCACTACTATCACAGGCTTAATACTGCCAGATGGTTACACAAATATATTTAAAGTAATCTGTAAAAGTTTCCACTTCTTGTAAGCTTCCTTTTTGTGTTTAAGCTCAGCAAGGATTTTCCTGGTAAGCCAATCTGGTCGCCTACCATATTTGCTTTTCTTACTGCGCATTGGGATGGTTTGTTCCTGTGCCTTCAATAAGGTTTCTTTAAAATACTGCCAGCTCTCCTGGACTCCTTTCCCCTTCATGTTAGTATCCCAGGGGATCCTGCCCATCGTTCTCTGAGGGAGTCAAAGTTTGCTTTTCTGAAATCCAGGGTGTGTATTTTGGTACTCTCCTTTCTTCCTTTGGTCAGGTTCCTGAAATCTACCATCTCATGATCACAGCTTCCCAGGTTGCACCACATCTGCTTCCCCTACTAGTTCCTCCCTGTTTGTGAGCAGCAGGTCAAGCTGCACATGGCCCCTGGTCAGCTCCTTAAGCAATTGTACCAAGAAGTTATCCCCAACATTCTCCAAAAACTTCCTGGATTGCCTGTGTACTGCTGTATTGGTCTTCCAAGAGATGTCAGGGTGATTGAAGTCCCCCATGAGAACCAGGGCCTGTGATTTGGAATGCTGCCCATCTCTCCCAAGATTCTATTATTTGGAGCCCATTCATGCTGTTTTTTTTTAATTGGTGCTGGAATGGTTACTGAACAAGTCAAGGTAACTCTTCCTCTGCTTCCCTTTGCATCAACATGGCACATGCAGAGAGAGCACGAGGATAAATCCTATTTTTCCATCCAGTCCGAGAACTCTACTGGAGATAGCTGGGTCTTGCTCTCTCTGTGTGCATTTTGTTTAGTCTTTGCTGCTACTATTTAAGTTATGCATTACCATGCTGCACAAGACATAGATGATCCTTGTCCAGCATATGTCCCCAAAGCACAGTAAGTTAAATGTATTGCATTGCAATATAGCTGAATAAAAAATGCTAGCTTTTACAAGGAATTTGTCACGTCCTGACGTACCCCACACATTTTAGATAATTTTCAGTGCTATAATAAATGCAGAGATAATGAAACCATGACATACCATCAGATGTGTCTGTCTGTGGAGTGTATCCCTCAGATAAATTAAAGGTCCCATTATCAGTCCAAGATACTTCTGATACATCCGTATCAGATACCGATAGCTCTTTGGCAACAACCGTAGGACTAATCTATATTAAAAAAACATGAAATGTGACATTTTGACATTCAGAGAATTCATTTTATAGTTAATGCCTGGACACTAAAAAGGAAACAGTGTAATACATCTTGTATGTGATGTCACATGCCCTCCCAACCCTAAACGTAGAAACACGTAGATAACATATATATGCTGCTGCTGGGAGCAGGCTTCCCAGCCTAGGTAGACAAACACATGCCTAGCTTGACAACAGCCAACTACGTCTACACAGCAACGTTATTTTGAAATAACTTAGTTCATGCCTACACACCAGGCAGTTATTTAAAAAAAAAGTTGAAATACTGTCAAGCTGGAGGACTTCTCTCTCTGACTCCAGTAACCCTCATTGAATGAGGAGTAAGGGAAGTCAGAATAAGAGTGCTCTATTTCAAAATAAGTGCTGTGTAGATGCTCCCAATTTTGAAATACTGTATTTTCCGGCGTATAAGACGACTTTTGATGTTAAAAAACATCCCCCAAAAATCGGGGGTTGTCTTATACGCCGGGTATACAGCTTTGCGGCTTTGCAAAGCCTCGGGGGAAGCCGGCTGCCCCCCCGCCAGAGCCCCTCCGCAGCTTTGCAAAGCCTTGGGGGAAGCCGGCGGGGCGGGGGCGGCCGC